CACCTGACCCCCCTTACCTTTGGTAATTATATGACCATGGGTATGATGCTGACAGGACAAGGATTGTAAAGAGGGAGGTCTTGGATTTGAACCCACAATCAGGACAACCAGCAATGCTAGATCCTGCACACTGTGGCAACATACACCACTGGACCGTCCACCTTACAAATACCTTCAGCAAAGTTTCAAATAAACTACTTTTTCAAAATGAAATGTCTGCTCAAATTGATATGAGAAATTCATCTAGATTTCTCTGTCATCTGTTAATATAATGTTGATAAGTTCACACAAATACGAAACACAGTTATCTAAAGCTAGACACAAAAGGAGCTGATACCAATGAGCAACCGCAATTGAGGAGGTTGTGCTTGTCGATTGTCATGATTGGATGTTTAAAGCATCGTTTGATTGGAACTTCCTTAAGTCTTATTGACTTATCATATTGATTTGTCATATGTCAATGTGTAAAAACAATATTCATATAAACAAACAATGCTGAAATAAAAAAGACAGGTAATGTTTTTGGGGTAAACTATGCGACACGGCTACAAATAGGGACAAATGTGTTCCACTAAGCCAGCTATGTCACCTCTACATCAATACAGCATGCTTCAGGTGATAAGTCAAGGTAACTGACTTCTCATTTAGCTAAGAAAGGCCGTCACCCAGAACATCTGAGCTATGCATTTCCCACCTTTCACCAACAGCTGACCTGTACTAGATGACATTCAGGCAACACATAAACATGTTACATCAACCTGTACAGGCTGAATCACCATCATTTCATTTACGGCTCTGAATGTTTTTGAAGAATATTTGAAAATTATTTTTAACTTTTAGTCAAGAAATGGCCTCCAAATTTATTCCAAAGACATTTCTACCTTCCTTTATAGTCATATATATAAAGAGAATACTGACACAAACACTATTTATCAACTACAACAATCTGTCGCCTAGATTACAGAATTCTAAACAACAAATAGCTACCAGCCTTGATGTAATTAAACTTTGCAAAAAATACTTTTTAGAAATGCTCAACATTCAATGGACCAAACAATTACAAAGCTCTTACAGCTGTACCGGTAGGAGAAATATCTGTACTCAATACAAAGGAACTGTACACCAGAGCAATATACAAAAAGGTGTACCTACTCGCATCAGGAAATAATATGCATACAATACAGCTGTTAAGGAAGGGTAGATAAGATACACAATGATATATACAGCCAGGAGGATGTACATAACGAAAATCAATCAAATGATTGACACACACAGAGTGATAATAATACTATAATTCACTGGAACACAAGCATTTGTTTACATAATTCGTACAGCATCTTGTGCCTCGCACATATTTAAGACCATGCCAAAATTAATAAAATTATGACATCTGATTTCTGTTCATATTGATAAATTGATCAACAATTCTCTCTGCCAAGAACTCAACCACATATACTCATGGAAACAAATAAGGTAACATATAGCAATGCAACAGTTTGCAAGAAATAAGCTTAATCAGCAATAACAAGAGCTTATTCTCAGGATCAAGTCCATTATTTCAGTGTTAGCAACCTCCATTCATCCTTGGGACAACACACTCAAACCTTCACACATGTTCCCTTATTTCTTTGCATGAGTATATTCCTACATATTCACATTCACAGGGCTTTAATGATACGTTAAAGCATAACGTATCATTTTTAGCGGAATGTCAAATAATTATGTTAGTACTGACACATCAGATGGCCACACCTTGCATCAGGGATGTAACTAGGTCACCCCACTGCTGCCATCTTCCCGAGGCAAGTGAGTTAACTGACTATAAAAGTCCAGTTTCCACCCATGCCGAACTAGGCTGGTATTATGGAGTTACATTTTGGCTGGACTAACGAGTACATGCATAGTCCAATCAAAATCGTGCAACGAAATCGAAATCCGGTTTGTAAACTGTCATGCAGATATCGGTCGACGGCAGCATTGCAATGCATGGTCACCGCTAACTCGTTGTCAACAGATATTTTCTAAAAAAAATTCATGTTTTTAATCAAGGTGCTCACGTGATTTGATGCACTTCACGATGTAAGACTCGTTTTATCACAATATAGATCTTGATTATCGATCAGATCGTCTTGACTGGGCGCCAATGTTTTGTTTGAAGCAAATGCAAGTGATTAGAGAGGTTGAATCTGATTGGTCAGTAGGAGAGGCATAGAAAGGACATACCGGTAACTCGCAATAGCCACTGGTGGCGCTACGATCGAGCCCAGAAATTCCAGCCTAATTCGGCAAGGGTGGAAGCTTGACTTTAAAAGTCAGTTAACTCTCTTGCCTCGGGAAGATGAACTGCTGCAAACTTGTCCACAACATATCAGCTGCACCCGTGTTCGAAATAGACCCAAGGCCGACAGATTTGTTCTTGGGGGTGAGAGTTCAGCAGGCTCTTATGGCCTGCAGTTTATTAAAGTAATTATTTGTCAGGCATAATTTAACTAATGTGACAAACATAACTTTCATATTTATAAACAGTAGGATTCGACCTTCAAATGGTGTATGACATTTAGTCGCAAAGATGTTTTACAAGCTAATAATTTCCTGATAAATGTAGGCTGCATCTATCACCACTGAGTCTGGGATTTCTGTGTGACAGCAGTAAATGTTTCGGGTTGACTGGTTGTGTTATGTAATTAATATTCCAAGAGTATGTCTCTCAGCTTCAGCTAAAATGTTTGGGCCTAAAGTTTTTCCACTGGGCCTACAGTTTTTCCACTGGGCCTACAGTTTTTCCACTGGGCCTACGTTTTTTCCTTGGGGCCTACACTGAGCTGAACCAGTACAGATCTGTCAGTATCAACAGCTGGTGAATTTCCTTCACCAGGACGGCTCTTCATAAAGAAATCAGTTTACCTTCTTATTTCCTTAATGGACTCAAATCTCAAAAGGCATTCAAGCTATTTCTTACCATCAAAATACATATTCATTTCCTGTTTGTTAGACAAGTTAAATGCACAACAGTTGAAGAGGTGAGTGTATAAATAACAGCAACTATCCAGGAAGATGACAAAGTCGTGGGGGAGTAAAATATGATACTGTCGTATGAGAAGACAAATACACTGGAACCTTGACCTTAAACATGTCCACTACTCACACACATTCCATACAATGCCTTCCTCCAAACAGGTGCTTTAAGTAACAAAGTATCTATGTAGATAACTTCTATATGTTGTACCCACAGCTGGTCGTTCTTATTACAAAACTGAGTTTCATGTCTAATCACGATTAGTTATTGATTAGTGATGGGGTGGATGTTGAAATTACAAACTACAATTACCTAAACATGCCAAATGTATGTCACATATTTTTGTATGTCATTTTAGGGGAACCTTTCACTAGTGCTTGTCAATATCCTAATGGCTCTCCCACAGGATTTCACAAACAATGTCTATTTTCCTTCCCCACCTTCTTCCCTCCCCACCCCTTGTAAAGTGTTTATATTTTTCACATCCTTCCCCAATCCCTCACAAATGCACGTGAAAATGAACAAGGTGGAATACAGGGTAAGGATGTACCAGTTAACTCTGAAAAGAACAGGACTTTCATTACAATACAAATATTACACTATGACTGTTACAGCAGGCACACATTGCCCACCTTGGTTATAAGGACGACAGATCTCCTCAGTCAACTTAAACACATTTCCACCACGATCTCTACCTAGGTACATGTACTACTCAAAAGAAATTAAAGAACAAGTGAATATACGGCTGATGGGTATTGCTACACAGCCTTCCAATTGTGGGCGTTCTTTAACCTTTTTTGAGTAGTATATATACTACTCAGCTTATGTAAGGTTGCATAAAAAGAAAAATATTTCTCAGGCACATTTGCTCAGATTCTTTTTAATGAAAACAAAACTGATTAGGAACTAACAGTTCATAATTTCTTTCAACCAAGAATACCAACAAACAAGACTGCACTCATTGAACTGTATTTTATGATAATAGCATCTCATTCATATATGAGGGAAATTTGTAAATAACTTTTAGCAGCAATAAAGATGACAGTTGCACAGGATTTAAACTGATGCACTTATGCCCGAGAAACATTTCCTTTTTTTCGCAGCCTTAGGGGTACCAGGCTATTTCACACTGTAACAATAAAACAGGGAATAACAAAATACAGACATGTGCACTTACGTTTGTTTGTTTGTTTTGAAATGAAGCTTGTCAAGTTATGTTAGTTGCAATACAACATACAATATAATATATTCATATCTTGCATAAATGTCTAATGGAGTCCCCAGGGGAATATCCCTACCACAAGTTGAGCAGTATACACACTGCTACGTTTCTCCCCAGCATCTGTTGTCCTCAATGGCAAGTTAGCAGCAGTCCTGTGTGCGATGTGATCCCAACTTATCAGTGAACAAACATAACAAGCAAATATCAACATGAAATATTTCCTGTCCTGGTTCAATCTCAAAGTTTACTTCCCTTTCACAGTCAAAGGGTTGATACTTTTTATCACATTTCCCACACAACTGCCTGGACTTGAGGAGACCCTTCCCAGAGTAATCTGTACTTCAAATACACAACTTCAGTATATATATATATATATCCGACATAGTCATTTCCTATAACATAACAGTTCCAATCCTTCTGAAGGATGAAACAATACCTCAAGGCAGTTTTGTTCTGACAGAGCTCGTTATGACTGAATACAGTAAAGTAGCACTACTCATACTCTGATACAATGTGTGTGTACATCTACATGGGCTTGGCATACCATTACCAGATGTTCCACAATGCTCAACCACTACAATGACTAAGATCAGCTTTTTGTAAAAAACACTTTGATGAAGCATAATTTTATGCATTATTTCAAGTCAATATTTTGCCTCTATGAATGTATAAACATATGAGCCTCTCCAAAGTTAGTCAATGAAAAAATGTTACATAAAAATGGGATGTGTGGGTTTTTCTTATTTTTTAATATTTTTTTGGGGGGGGGCAGCAAATAAGGACACTTCAAAGATCAATCTAAGCACCCCCTGCACCACACTCCCTATAATAAATGGCTTGACCCTTATTGTGATCCTTACACATTTTTTTCCATTTGTTTACAGAAACATGTTACCCAAACTTTTAACTCTCCAAGTCTCCTGAACGTCACTCAACAATATCAAGACGTTTAACAACAAAAGGGTGTCCGTATTTTTACAAAAAGTTTAAGTTTTTAAGTAATGAAATTAGTTTTCACAGGGTAATTTTGTTGCAACATCTCTTAAAATCTCTTAAGCATAATAAAAAGTGAGTGAAAGATGCCCAACATCTACTTAATTCATGACCTGTTGCCTGTCACTGGCCACTGATGTTATTCTGTCAATCTACTTAATTCTTAACCCTATTGAACTGGAGGTAACATGCCTAGTTCTGTCTATTGATGTTGTTCTGTCTGAATGTTAACAAACGGCACAGAGTTGAAGCATATCCCTAAGCCTTGGGGACATAAGGAGTCCAGGTGTTCACTTCCTCCACACCCCAACTCCAGGACCACGTGTGGCTTGACAGTTTATTAAACTTCCCTCTGCGTCACACCGTGACACAAGCACGGATCAATGATAATAACTGGTGTGAATCTGAGATTCGAACCCATGACCAGCAGATCCCAGCAGACACAACTCAAAGAGCACCCTAAACCACTGAGACATTGATGCCTCCCAGACAACTATAACCTTGGTTATATTTATACACCACAGAGCATATTGAATATTGCAATAAGTCTATAAAAGACTTGTATTCATAACCTATTGTACGAGTCTTGTATTTATAACCTATTGAACAGGTCTTGTATTCATAACCTATTGTACGAGTCTTGTATTTATAACTTATTGAACAGGTCTTGTATTCATTACCTATGGTACGAGTCTCGTATTCATAACCTATTGTACGAGTCTTGTATTCATAACCTATTGTATGAGTCTTGTATCCATAACCTAATGAATAAGTCTTGTATCTATAACCTATTGAACAGGTCTTGTATTCATAACCTATTGTACAAGTTTTGTATTTATAACCTTCTGAACTAGTCTTGGTAATCTGTGATCTCAGTTCTCAAGTATAGTCTACATGAACATTAACTCTCTGGATGACATCACATTGGGGTCCTTAGATAAAGCCATGATTGAAACATCTCAAAATTCTCAGGGATGCTCAGCCTGACTTATTGACAAAGGTAAAAAAACCCGATATGTTTATCCTACAGATATTGTGTTTATTGAAGTATAGGAGTTACCATGGTAATGACAGTCAAAGCACCAAAGAACAAGCCATGGAACAAGGCTGTGAGTGCTCTATCCACAGACACTAATAGGAGGGATGGCCCTTACACCTGTTCGTTTTAGGTTTTTGCTAGAGTGCCACGTAAATTACCATTTCAGTTTAGTGTTAAGACATTTTCCAAGCATGAACTAAAAATGAAGATTAAGGGACACAATTTTGTGAGGATAGTGATGCATATTGAAGAGTGAACGATGTGCAATAGTGTCAGCTGTCTCTAAATAATGGTATGGTCACTTCAAAACGTGATGACAATATGTACATGAGATGTGTCACGTCATCACACCGTTAGTGATGAAGCAAATATCGCAACTTGCGGCTGCAAAATTCATCCTATGCTCAAGCCCATGAAGATATATACACTGACCAATGAGAATCAATCAACTCAATGACCTGTCGACTGCCTGGCTGCAATGATTAGTGGTTTTAGTGTAGTGAGCGGCATGGCTTTCTTCAGGAAAGCGTGTTCGAGCAGGTCTGAGGCATTTGCCCTCTTCTCGACATCCACCTCCAGACAGGCGTGCAGGAAGGAACGCAGCTCCTCGGACAGTTTGCCTTCATTTTTTATCTCTGGTTTGCCGATGGTGGCAATCCTGAAGATGGCTTTCAGCGGAGTTTCATTGAGGTACGGTGGCTCCCCCTCCAGCATCTCAATGATCATGATACCCATACTCCAGATGTCCACCTTGTTGCCATACTGCTTCCTGGAAGACACAGACAGTACAGTGGGAGCGAAGCATACTTTGTTTATTTCTTGTTTTACGTCACACTCATTAAGGCTAGAAAAAATAACAGTCTTGGTTCTCAGGTACTGCCTGCATTATCATAAAGTTCCCTGCACATTTCCTTACATATATCAAGTCCAAATATGATGGCATGCAATCAAACAAGTGACCAAACTTGACCAGTAAGTTGGCTCGAACGACAAGCATAGGACGCTGGGATCAATTTTGATATGGAATCCCCACACTTTGCGAAGCATAATGCTTCCTGGAAGACACAAGGACAGATATCTCACCCATCATTTAATGAAAGATAAGACAATTTCTCCCAAACATTACCTAGAAATTCTTATCATAAATGTTAAATGAATGAAGAATATCAATATGCAGTTTATCAATCACTGAGACATAAATCCTAGAGAAGCTTACCTGGAGACAACTTCTGGCGCCATCCAATACGGCGTTCCCACCATAGTGTCACGCTTACTCTTCTCTCCACTAAGTTGAGCACAGAAACCGAAGTCAGTCAGCTTGACAGCACCAGTCATTCCAAGCAGTACATTATCACTCTTAATATCCCTGTGAATAATATTCCTCTCATGAAGAAACTTAAGCCCAACGAGGCACTCGCGACATACAGCTGCAATCTGGCCCTCTTTCATGATGGTTTCTGTGACAACATCAGTCAAGGCGCCACCGTCCAGGTACTCCATGATCACCCAAAGTTCAGTATCTAGCATGTAACAGTCCAGGAAGTTTACAATGTTGTCATGGCGATATGTTTTCATGACTTCGATCTCAGTAACAATGAGCTCCTTCTTGGGTTGGTTATTCAAGTCCATCATTTTAATCGCCACGACAACATCCTCATTGGCCTTCTCTCGGGCGAGACACACCGTCCCAGATGCACTGAAGACACAACATGTTGAAGTGAGTTAGTTAGTTGGTGAGTTTAACACAAGTCTGAACCATGTTGTTACAGTCTTATCATGGGCAACAGTTTTCAAATGTCCACCTGACTTGACCTGGGTGCCGTTTCACAAAACAACCTTGGCACTATGACTGTCGTAAGTCTATGTTAAGGTATGAAGTTACAATCACCTTAGCGCTAAGACCGCTTTGTATAACGGCATCCAGAAGTCTTACATGAAGAATATCTTGTTTGTGTGTCATACCAGTGAGCACATGTTAACTGTACATAGTTGTGACACAGGTGTTTGTTATACCATTGTGCATCTGTTAAACTACACTTGAGAAGCTATGCATTACATAAGACAGAGGTGATTAAATAGTATGACATAAGAAAGAAAAACTCTGAACAGTATCCTGGATTATCAAGTGCATTATATCTCAAATCTATTTTGCTTCCTTGACTCAATCGCATGTAGAGATCTTAGCTCAAAGACCATCTTAACTCCCATACATAGGCTTACATCAGTCTTAGCACTAAGACAGCTTGGTGCAAGTGGGCCCAGGACCCTTTACGACACAGGAAAGATCAGGAAACTTTTTTGGGTCTTACCCTGATCCTAACTTTTTCTTGATCTCAAACTTCTGCTGTGGGTCCCCTGCACTGGCAATCTTCCCTGAAAGACACACAAACATATTCTCATGTTTCAGAACAGATCTTGTTAACAGGGATGAACAATATCAATAAGGCAAAAAGGTTTTAAGACATGTAAGATCTGGTCATAACTTTCACACCATACTTTAATTTAAACACTTGTTATGTGAGATCACCAGACAAAAAAATCAGCTTCAGATTCACCTTAAAATTTGGCAGACTTCTAGTCAATTTTGATGAAATATTTTTGACAGTATGTACTGAATTTGTACTGAATATAACTTGAAAAAAGTACACATTGCTAGCAAGAGGAATCCAGCTGAGCACGGTGTATTGTTTATATCCTTGATCTGATTTCGATCATGCTTTAGAACAAGCTCTCTGATTGGTTGATCAGACTTCTACGTCACCAGTTCGGCAGTGCATTGTAAGTAGCCATGGCAGATCACACTGGCTGCTCAAAATGTATATTTTTCATATGATGACGGCCTATCAAGGATGAATTCATTATTCATGGTGGGAAAAATCAAGGAGATACAAAAACTTATTCATCAATATCAAAACAAAGACTGCAGACAGGAAAAGTTTCTGATTTTGTAATAAAAACGCCATTTTGGTCACACACCAACAACAAAATCCGTACAAATACACTTTGTCTCCAGAGAATTGACCTTTTCTTATTTCCTTGTCCAGAGACAAGTTCACAATTTTGATATTTCCCCACCCAGATAAAATTAACCAAATTTCTTCTAACAATGTACCAAATATATAACAACCAGACACGACAATCTTATAACAAGCATGACGTACTGGTGGCCTATTCAATATTCCTACAGTTTGACAAAACTACTACTATTTCTACATCATAATTTTTCTTACGCAATTCATCATTTATTTCTTCATCTGTCTTTGCCTCCACTTTCTGTTTTGACTTTGGTCGTCTTGTGAGAACCTCATCATCATCCACGGTTGTGTCAGCAACGCCAACTGCCAACTTTTCCACTGATTGGTCCCCAGCACTGGCATCATGCTGCAACAGATGTAAACAAGATGTAAACAAGGTGTCAACAGAGTGAAACAAGGTGTCAACACAGTGTAACAAGGTGTCAACAGAGTGAAACAAGGTGTCAACACAGTGTAACAAGGTGTCAACAGAGTGTGACAAGGTGTCAACAGAGTGCAACAAGGTGTCAACAGAGAGTAACAAGGTGTCAACAGAGTGAAACAAGGTGTCAACAGAGTGAAACAAGGTGTCAACACAGTGTAACAAGGTGTCAACAGAGTGTGACAAGGTGTCAACAGAGTGCAACAACGTGTCAACAGAGTGAAACAAGGTGGCAGAGTGAAACAAGGTGTCAACAGAGTGTAACAAGGTGTCAACAGAGTGAAACAAGGCGTCAACAGTGTAACAAGGTGTCAACAGAGAGTAACAAGGTGTCAACAGAGGGTAACAAGGTGTCAACAGAGAGTAACAAGGTGTCAACAGAGTGAAACAAGGTGTCAAAGCAGTGTAACAAGGTGTCAACAGAGAGTAACAAGGTGTCAACAGAGTGAAACAAGGCGTCAACAGTGTAACAAGGTGTCAACAGAGAGTAACAAGGTGTCAACAGAGGGTAACAAGGTGTCAACAGAGAGTAACAAGGTGTCAACAGAGTGAAACAAGGTGTCAAAACAGTGTAACAAGGTGTCAACAGAGAGTAACAAGGTGTCAACAGAGAGTAACAAGGTGTCAACAGTGTGAAACAAGGAGTCAACACAGTGTAACAAGGTGTCAACACAGTGTAACAAGATGGCAGAGTGAAACAAGGTGTCAACACAGTGTACCAAGGTGTCAACACAGTGTAACAAGGTGTCAACAGAGTGTAACAAGGTGTCAACACAGTGTAACAAGGTGTCAACAGAGTGTAACAAGGTGTCAACAGAGAGTAACAAGGTGTCAACAGATTGTAACAAGGTGTCAACAGTGTGTACACTGGGAGCTTGCAGCTACAGTTTTTTCACAGTGGAATTACATGTAACATTGTTTCAATTGGTAAGACTTGCAATAATCGAAATACGACAAATCTAGGACTTTTTCTTGTTAAATATTTACAACATTCCCCAAAGCGATCTTTGCGCTACGACCATCGTAAGCCAATGTTAAAGCATGAGCGTAACAACCATCTTAGCACTAAGATCGTTTAGTTGAACGGTGTCCTGGAGTTCTGGAACAACATTGTAATTGTTTATTGCATTAGTATTAACATCTTATTGCATGAGAAGAGCATATTAATCATGGAATAACAGATATAAATTTATCAGAATTAAAATCAGACATTCCATGAAAGTGACCTCTGTTACTGCATGTCTTACTTTTATCTGCTCGTTCTTGGTAGCGTTTTTTTCTTCATGCTTTGGACTGTCAAATATAACGTCCTGGCCATTTGAGTCTTCCTTCTGACTCCTTTCCTCATCTTCAGCCCCTTCTAATGGTTCATCAGACTCTCGTATCGTCGTAGCAACCATCATGAACTTGGCATTTGATGGTTTTCGCTTGACAGAGTTCTGGTATGTCTTTAAGGAGTTGATGACAGCTTCAGGATTGTCCCGCTGTTCCTTAGCACTGTGAGCAATGAAGACATATCACATGAGTGTCGGTTCACTTGATGTGAGTGTAGGTTCATAATAATAGATATCAATTAATGTGAGTGTAGGTTCACTTGATGTGAGTGTAGGTTCATCATAACAGATATCACTAAATGTGAGTGTAGGTTCATCATAACAGATATCACTAAATGTGAGTGTAGGTTAACTTGATGTGAGTGTAGGTTCACTTGATGTGAGTGTAGGTTCATCATAACAGATATCACTAAATGTGAGTGTAGGTTCACTTGATGTGAGTGTAGGTTCATCATAACAGATATCACTTAATGTGAGTGTAGGTTCACTTGATGTCAGTGTAGGTTCATCATAACAGATATCACTAAATGTGAGTGTAGGTTCACTTGATGTGAGTGTAGGTTCATCATAATAGATATCACTTAATGTGAGTGTAGGTTCACTTGATGTCAGTGTAGGTTCATCATAACAGATATCACTAAATGTGAGTGTAGGTTCACTTGATGTGAGTGTAGGTTCATCATAACAGATATCACTAAATGTGAGTGTAGGTTCACTTGATGTGAGTGTAGGTTCATCATACAGGTATATCTAAATGTGAGTGTAGGTTCACTTGATGTGAGTGTAGGTTCATCATAACAGATATAACTAAATGTGAGTGTAGGTTCACTTGATGTGAGTGTAGGTTCATCATAACAGATATCACTAAATGTGAGTGTAGGTTCACTTGATGTGAGTGTAGGTTCATCATAACAGATATCACTAAATGTGAGTGTAGGTTCACTTGATGTGAGTGTAGGTTCATCATAACAGATATCACTAAATGTGAGTGTAGGTTCACTTGATGTGAGTGTAGGTTCATCATAACAGATATCACTAAATGTGAGTGTAGGTTCACTTGATGTGAGTGTAGGTTCATCATAACAGATATCACTAAATGTGAGTGTAGGTTCACTTGATGTGAGTGTAGGTTCACTTGATGTGGGTGTAGGTTTATCATAACAGATATCACTAAATGTGAGTGTAGGTTCACTTGATGTGAGTGTAGGTTCATCATAACAGATATCACTAAATGTGAGTGTAGGTTCACTTGATGTGAGTGTAGGTTCATCATAACAGATATCACTAAATGTGAGTGTAGGTTCACTTGATGTGAGTGTAGGTTCACTTGATGTGAGTGTAGGTTCACTTGATGTGAGTGTAGGTTCACTTGATGTGAGTGTAGGTTCATCATATTATATATCACTTAATGTGAGCGTAGGTTCACTTGATGTGAGTGTAGGTTCATCATATTATATATCACTTAATGTGAGCGTAGGCTCACTTAATGTGTCAGTTGGGTTTTAGGCCGCTTTTAGCAATATTCCAGCAATATCATGGCAGGGGACACCAGAAATTAGCTTCACACTTTGTACCCATCTGAGAAATCAAACACAGGCCTTCGGCATGATGTTCAAACACTTTGACCACTAGGCTACCCTTCCACCCCAATATCACTTAATGTGAGTGTAGGTTCATCATACAGTTACACTTAATGTGAGTGTAGGTTCATCATACAGTTACACTTAATGTGAGTGTGGGTTCATCATACAGTTACACTTAATGTGAGTGCAGGTTCATCATACAGTTACACTTAATGTGAGTGCAGGTTCATCATACAGTTACACTTAATGTGAGTGTAGGTTCATCATACAGTTACAATTAATGTGAGTGTAGGTTCATCAAACAGTTACACTTAATGTGAGTGTAGGTTCATCATACAGTTACAATTAATGTGAGTGTAGGTTCATCATACAGTTACACTTAATGTGAGTGTAGTTTCTTCATACAGTTACACTAAATGTGAGTGTAGGTTCTTCATACAGTTACAATTAATGTGAGTGTAGGTTCATCATACAGTTACACTTAATGTGAGTGTAGTTTCTTCATACAGTTACACTAAATGTGAGTGTAGGTTCTTCATACAGTTACACTTAATGTGAGTGTAGGTTCATCATACAGTTACACTAAATGTGAGTGTAGGTTCTTCATACAGTTACAATTAATGTGAGTGTAGGTTCATCATACAGTTACACTTAATGTGAGTGTAGGTTCATCATACAGTTACACTTAATGTGAGTGTAGGTTCATCATACAGTTACACTTAATGTGAGTGTAGGTTCATCAAACAGTTACACTTAATGTGAGTGTAGGTTCATCAAACAGTTACACTTAATGTGAGTGTAGGTTCATCATACAGTTACACTTAATGTGAGTGTAGGTTCATTATACAGTTACACTTAATGTGAGTGTAGGTTCATCATACAGTTACACTTAATGTGAGTGTAGGTTCATCATACAGTTACACTTAATGTGAGTGTAGGTTCATCATACAGTTACACTTAATGTGAGTGTAGGTTCATCAAACAGTTACACTTAATGTGAGTGTAGGTTCATCATACAGTTACAATTAATGTGCGTGTAGGTTCTTCATACAGTTACACTTAATGTGAGTGTAGTTTCTTCATACAGTTACACTAAATGTGAGTGTAGGTTCTTCATACAGTTACACTTAATGTGAGTGTAGGTTCATCATACAGTTACACTAAATGTGAGTGTAGGTTCTTCATACAGTTACAATTAATGTGAGTGTAGGTTCATCATACAGTTACACTTAATGTGAGTGTAGGTTCATCAAACAGTTACACTTAATGTGAGTGTAGGTTCATCAAACAGTTACACTTAATGTGAGTGTAGGTTCATCATACAGTTACACTTAATGTGAGTGTAGGTTCATTATACAGTTACACTTAATGTGAGTGTAGGTTCATCATACAGTTACAATTAATGTGAGTGTAGGTTCATCATACAGTTACACTTAATGTGAGTGTAGGTTCATCATACAGTTACAATTAATGTGAGTGTAGGTTCATCAAACAGTTACACTTAATGTGAGTGTAGGTTCATCATATAGTTACACTTAATGTGAGTGTAGGTTCATCAAACAGTTACACTTAATGTGAGTGTAGGTTCATCAAACAGTTACAATTAATGTGAGGGTAGGTTCATCATACAGTTACACTTAATGTGAGTTTAGGTTCATCATACAGTTACACTTAATGTGAGTGTAGGTTCTTCATACAGTTACACTTAATGAAAGTCTAGGTTCTTCATACAGTTATACTTTACTTGAGTGTAGGTTCATCATACAGTTACACTTAATGTGAGTGTAGGTTCATCATACAGTTACACTTAATGTGAGTGTAGGTTCATCATACAGTTACACTTAATGTGAGTGCAGGTTCATCATACAGTTACACTTAATGTGAGTGTAGGTTCTTCATACAGTTACACTTAATGTGAGTGTAGGTTCATCATACAGTTACACTAAATGTGAGTGTAGGTTCATCATACAGTTACACTTAATGTTAGTGTAGGTTTATCATACAGTTACACTTAATGTTAGTGTAGGTTCATCATACAGTTACACTTAATGTTAGTGTAGGTTCATCATACAGTTACACTTAATGTGAGTGTAGGTTCATCATACAGTTACACTTAATGTGAGTGTAGGTTCATCAAACAGTTTCATTAAATGTGAGTGTAGGTTCATCATACAGTTACACTAAATGTGAGTGTAGGTTCATCATACAGTTACACTTAATGTGAGTGTAGGTTCTTCATACAGTTACACTTAATGTGAGTGTAGGTTCATCATACAGTTACACTTAATGAAAGTCTAGGTTCTTCATACAGTTATACTTTACTTGAGTGTAGGTTCATCATACAGTTACACTTAATGTGAGTGTAGGTTCATCATACAGTTACACTTAATGTGAGTGTAGGTTCATCATACAGTTACACTTAATGTGAGTGTAGGTTCATCATACAGTTACACTTAATGTTAGTGTAGGTTCATCATACAGTTACACTTAATGTTAGTGTAGGTTCATCATACAGTTACACTTAATGTTAGTGTAGGTTCATCATACAGTTACACTTAATGTGAGTGTAGGTTCATCATACAGTTACACTTAATGTGAGTGTAGGTTCTTGATACAGTTACACTTAATGTGAGTGTAGGTTCATCATACAGTTACACTTAATGTGAGTTTAGGTTCATCATACAGTTACACTTAATGAAAGTCTAGGTTCTTCATACAGTTATACTTTACTTGAGTGTAGGTTCATTATACAGTTACACTTAATGTGAGTGTAGGTTCATCATACAGTTACACTTAATGTGAGTGTAGGTTCATCATACAGTTACACTTAATGTGAGTGTAGGTTCATCATACAGTTACACTTAATGTGAGTGTAGGTTCATCATACAGTTACAATTAATGTGAGTGTAGGTTCATTATACAGTTACAATTAATGTGAGTGTAGGTTCTTCATACAGTTACACTTAATGTGAGTGTAGGTTCATCATACAGTTACACTTAATGTGAGTGTAGGTTCATCAAGCAGTTACACTTAATGTGAGTGTAGGTTCTTCATACAGTTACACTTAATGTGAGTATAGGTTCATCATACAGTTACACTTAATGTGAGTGTAGGTTCATCATACAGTTACACTTAATGTGAGTGTAGGTTCTTCATACAGTTACACTTAATGTGAGTGTAGGTTCTTCATACAGTTACACTTAATGTGAGTGTAGGTTCTTCATACAGTTACACTAAATGTGAGTGTAGGTTCATCATACAGTTACACTTAATGTGAGTGTAGGTTCATCATACAGTTACACTTAATGTGAGTGTAGGTTCTTCATACAGTTACAATTAATGTGAGTGTAGGTTCATTATACAGTTACACTTAATGTGCGTGTAGGTTCTTCATACAGTTACACTTAATGTGAGTGTAGGTTCTTCATACAGTTACACTTAATGTGAGTGTAGGTTCATCATACAGTTACAATTAATGTGAGTGTAGGTTCATCATACAGTTACACTTAATGTGAGTGTAGGTTCATCATACAGTTACACTTAATGTGAGCGTAGGTTCATCATACAGTTACACTTAATGTGAGGGTAGGTTCATCATACAGTTACACTTAATGTGAGGGTAGGTTCATCATACAGTTACACTAAATGTGAGTGTAGGTTCATCATACAGTTACACTTAATGTGAGTGTAGGTTCATCATACAGTTACACTAAATGTGAGGGTAGGTTCATCATACAGTTACACTTAATGTGAGTGTAGGTTCATCATACAGTTACACTTAATGTGAGTGTAGGTTCATCATACAGTTACACTTAATGTGAGTGTAGGTTCATCATACAGTTACACTAAATGTGAGTGTAGGTTCATCATACAGTTACACTTAATGTGAGTGTAGGTTCATCATACAGTTACACTTAATGTGAGTGTAGGTTCATCATACAGTTACACTAAATGTGAGTGTAGGTTCTTCATACAGTTACACTTAATGTGAGTGTAGGTTCTTCATACAGTTACACTTAATGAAAGTCTAGGTTCTTCATACAGTTACACTAAATGTGAGTGTAGGTTCATCATACAGTTACACTTAATGTGAGTGTAGGTTCATCAAACAGTTACACTTAATGTGAGTGTAGGTTCATCATACAGTTACACTTAATGTGAGTGTAGGTTCTTCATACAGTTACACTTAATGTGAGTGTAGGTTCATCATACAGTTACACTTAATCATGTTAATGTGAGTGTAGGTTCATCATACAGTTACACTAAATGTGAGTGTAGGTTCTTCATACAGTTACACTTAATGTGAGTGTAGGTTCTTCATACAGTTACACTAAATGTGAGTGTAGGTTCATCATACAGTTATACTTAATCATGTTAATGTGAGTGTAGGTTCTTCATACAGTTACACTTAATGAAAGTCTAGGTTCTTCATACAGTTACACTTAATGTGAGTGTAGGTTCATCATACAGTTACACTAAATGTGAGTGTAGGTTCATCATACAGTTACACTTAATCATGTTAATGTGAGTGTAGGTTCATCATACAGTTACACTTAATCATGTTAATGTGAGTGTAGGTTCTTCATACAGTTACACTTAATGTGAGTGTAGGTTCTTCATACAGTTACACTAAATGTGAGTGTAGGTTCTTCATACAGTTACACTTAATGTGAGTGTAGGTTCATCATACAGTTACACTAAATGTGAGTGTAGGTTCATCATACAGTTACACTTAATGTGAGTGTAGGTTCATCATACAGTTACACTAAATGTGAGTGTAGGTTCATCAAGCAGTTACACTTAATGTGAGTGTAGGTTCATCATACAGTTACACTAAATGTGAGTGTAGGTTCATCATACAGTTACACTTAATGTTAGTGTAGGTTCATCATACAGTTACACTTAATGTGAGTGTAGGTTCATCATACAGTTACACTTAATGTGAGTGTAGGTTCATCATACAGTTACACTAAATGTGAGTGTAGGTTCTTCATACAGTTACACTTAATGTGAGTGTAGGTTCATCATACAGTTACACTTAATCATGTTAATGTGAGTGTAGGTTCATCATACAGTTACACTTAATGTGAGTGTAGGTTCTTCATACAGTTACACTAAATGTGAGTGTAGGTTCATCATACAGTTACACTAAATGTGAGTGTAGGTTCATCATACAGTTACACTTAATGTTAGTGTAGGTTCATCATACAGTTACACTTAATGTGAGTGTAGGTTCATCATACAGTTACACTTAATGTGAGTGTAGGTTCATCATACAGTTACACTTAATGTGAGTGTAGGTTCATCATACAGTTACACTTAATGTGAGTGTAGGTTCATCATACAGTTACACTAAATGTGAGTGTAGGTTCTTCATACAGTTACACTTAATCATGTTAATGTGAGCGTAGGTTCATCATACAGTTACACTTAATGTGAGTGTAGGTTCATCAAACAGTTACACTAAATGTGAGTGTAGGTTCATTATACAGTTACACTTAATGTGAGTGTAGGTTCTTCATACAGTTACACTTAATGAAAGTCTAGGTTCTTCATACAGTTACACTAAATGTGAGTGTAGGTTCATCAAACAGTTACAATTAATGTGAGGGTAGGTTCATCATACAGTTACACTTAATGTGAGTTTAGGTTCATCATACAGTTACACTTAATGTGAGTGTAGGTTCTTCATACAGTTATACTTTACTTGAGTGTAGGTTCTTCATACAGTTACACTTAATGTGAGTGTAGGTTCATCATACAGTTACACTTAATGAAAGTCTAGGTTCTTCATACAGTTATACTTTACTTGAGTGTAGGTTCACCACAGCGCAACCCAGTAATTCCTTGCAATCTGGTTTCTGAATCAGATGCTTATAAGCATACAGTGCACTTACGTCAGGTTTGAGTCCTTCAGCAACTGTGCCCATGCAGGCGGTAGACCCACAAACTCTCCGTTTGAGCTGTCAAAGTTGACATGGTAGTTGCGGACAACGTTGAAAGGGGTGCCGATGCTCATGGCTCCTTCAGCATCGCTTTCGGAGACTTTCTTATTCTTCTTTTTCGTAAAGAACGGCATTTTATGTGTCTATGGAGATCTTAATTTAGCTGAAAAATAGAAGAAAACAAATCAGGACATTATAACAACACAACAATCTACTTCTTGCACTTGAATTTTGAAAGGGAAACAATCAAAATTAATATGCAGTCAACTTAGTCCAAGCATATGTGCCAGGGAGGATCTAATGCCTTCATCCAAGGAAGCGCTTTCACTCTGTAAACGAGAGATGGCAGATGATTAATGCATGGCAACAGTGTCTTAGAAGTTGCTTTCTATGAACCTGAAGAATCAGTGAATATGGGCTGTTGGATGATACAGTGGCCGGGACCATCATATCCAAACTTGTTCAAGGAGGATTTAAAAGCTCAGATGATTAAACCTGATACCATATTGCTAAAGCTCAGGCTCTTCCATGACGTTGACCATGTTAACACAAAGTGGAGGATTATTGCAGGGTTCGATTTAAACTATATAAAACGTGCACCAGTGCAACTGATAGTTCATTTAAAAGTACAACCTAATATTTATGTCTTTATGTACCATGTGCATGTAAAAACATTTAAAATTGTGTTTGACTTACCCTAACTTTACCAGACAATATCGATCTTTGAACACACCAAATACCTCTAAGCTTTATGTAACATACAACATCACTAAGCCCTGTCATGTATAATTTGTCATGTTATCTTGAGTCATTAAACCAGGCCTCAAAGTTTAAATTTTTACCAAGAAGCCATAGGGCTACAAGTATATTTTTCCAGGTAGCCAGGGTTAAAATTAGGAAGTCGAGCCAATAGTGTAGGTAGCCAAAAGAATTTAAAATTATCTTTTATCAAATAACTATTATAGTATAATAGCGAAAATTGTACTTATGTTTTATTATTTGTGACTTGAACAGTGATGCAATTTGTGTTACTAGATTATATAGGTCTATCCTTGCTTATCCAATAAACTATCAACTAAAATAAAATACTAATTACATTAATATTTATGTATTTCGGTTCATTGTTGACTTTTGGAGGAATTATTTGCAAGTACAATTAGTAGCAGACGTGTTTATTTTTGTGTCTACATATGTGTAACAATATTATTTAGTCGCCACAAGATATTTTTCAAGGTAGTCATTTGGCTACCTCTGAATTTTAGACGGTAGACAAATTGAAATTTTAACATGTTTAAGGTTGCACTGGCGACCATTTTAGTCGCAACTTTGAGGCCTGCAAACTGGGTACTGCAAGATCATGTTCATATGTTCTTCTTATCTGCTTATGTTGTACAGCAATACTTCGTTAATTTATGTAAAATCATGACACAGTCAACCAGGCCTCAAAGGCTACAAGCTACAAGCATTTTTTTTCCAGTAGCCAGTGGTAAAATCAAGAAGTCAAGCCAATATTGTAGGTGGCAAAAAGCATTTGAAATTATCTTTGATCAAATAACTATTATAATATGAACGAGTCATAGCACTAGTCTTGAAATTGTATATTAGTGGATACTGTACTTGATGTTTGTTATTTGAGACTCAAACAATGATGCAATGTTTGTTACTAGATTATTTAGGTATATCCTTGCTTATCCAATGAGCATTGTCAACTGAAATAGAATACTAATGACGTTAATATTTATGCATTTCTGTTCATTGTCAACTTTAGGAGGTATGATATGTAAGTACAATTATTAGCAGACATGTTTTCCACAATCAGCTATTATTTATTTTTGTGTCTTCAAATGCATGAAATGTGAAGCAATAGAATTTAGTTGCCACAAGATATTATTCAAGGTAGTCATTTGGCTACCTCTGAATTTTAGACAGTAGATAAATTGAAATTTATGTCGAATTGGCAACCGTTTTAGTTGCAACAGTGGGGCCTGTCAACTGAATCATCAGAGATTTGAGATTTTAGTTATTTAGAGTAGTTTATGCATCTATATATCAACTTTGATAAATTGATGAGGCCAGGGTGCAACTAGGATTTCACGTCACCATGCACCTGGTGCATGTTAAATTAAGTTCTTTAAATCAAGCCCTGTATTGTCACAAGGTATCAATGGTCAGCAATTCTGACAGCAACTCAAATGTCAAAATTACATTCATATTAACCAATGAAATAATTTCTAGTACCTATTTATGCAGAGTTGTTTGGGCTGCATGTTCAACAACAAACAAACATCTACTGAAGTATTCATGAAAAAAACACAGGCAAAATTTCCTATTTTCAGAAATCTATTTTACTTTAACTTGCATTCATGTTCATGTAGACATTCAGCAAATAGTACACCTGGATATGTAGTAAAAATATCAATAAAGTTTGTTTGTTGTTTAACAGAGCACACCATGCACATAGCACTATTCCAGCTATGTGATGATGGTCCGTAAACAATTGAGTCTGGACCAAACATTATCCTGTGATTGACATCATCAGCATGTATCTACGCAATGGGATACGATGACATGCATCAACCAAGTCAGCAAACCTGATATCCCCAAGACAGTACTTAAAACGGTGCTGTCAGCCTTGACATATGCACATTTGCTGCATAAATATTGAAGATTATAAAGAGTGATAATGTAACATAAAACTCTATAGAAACAAAATATGATGATTTATTGTCACAACAATCAAAATAAGGACAAACTTTACTATAAATCGCTAAAAGTGGTACATATGTGTTCAGCCCCATTACCATGACTACTAGCTTTACTTATACTAGATTTCAGTACATTTTGGCAAAAATAGCTGAGCAAAAGCCCCAAATAATTGTTTTCAATATGGCTGCCATGTTGTGCCATGTGATCTTCAATACAGGCAATCGTCAATTTAGGGCTTGGCCGATACACGTACTGTACAATCATGTGCAATCCAATACGTATCACTATACCTTGCTCATGATCCGAAACGTATCACAATACTTGCATGTCTTGCTAAGCCATGTTTTTCATAGACAGGATGGCCAAATACCTTGCACACTGATGATTTACAGTTGGCAGTGTCAAATATGTGGCAATGGATGAAAATATTTACGTTTTCACTACTTTCTTTCACTACTAATAAGGACCCATGAAGATTCGGGGGTATACTTGCCATAAAAGGCGACTATGTTTGTCGTAAAAGGCGACTAGGATCGGGTGGTCAGACTCGCTGACTTGGTTGATACATGTCATCGATCCCAATTGCGTGGATCAATGCTCATGATGTCAATCTCTGGATTGTCTGGTCCAGACTCGATTATTTTACAGACCAACGTCATATAGCTGGAATATTGCTGAGTGCAGCGTTAAACAACAAACAAACAAACAAAAAACAAAACTACTAATAAGTGTTTGGTTTAACAGTTGTTAAAGCATATATTTAAGGTAAGAATTGCTATTCCTTACATAGTGTTGGACTGTGATTGATACCTGTATCGATCGAGAAGATAAAAATAGATCCGGCAATCCAGTGGCTTAGCCAGTCTGCCCAATGTCACAAATGTCATGATAACTGGCAAATCCTGTGCCTTCAGACCAAAGTCCAGGCCCCAGGTCCACAAAGCAACCTTAGCACTGAGATGATCATAACTCCCATACATTAACATAGGCTTAAGCAAGCTGTAGTGCTAAGATCGCTTCGTGGAATGGAACCCAGATACACAGGGGTTGTGACTACTGAAATTGGTGGATTATCAGTTGTAAATATAAAATGTCAGCGCCAGAAAACAACCAGTCTCTATTCTCCAGCAACACAGATTCAATTGGCCGTAAAAGGCAAAATAGCAGTGAAAATAATATGAATGGATCAATGAAAATCGGTGATGACACCAGGTGTTCGTGATAAACTAAACAGTAAGTTTTGATGTGAGGTGAGGTGAAATTGGGTTTAATGTCGCGTCCAAGATTATTGCACTTATATAGCGACGTGCATGTACGTGTGTGTGTGTGTGTGGCTGCTTGTACTAGTCCGGACCAATGCCGATTTATAGTGCTAACTCACTGAGATACCATGCCGCAGTTTAACATGAATACCCCACTCAGACACAGTATACTGACTCCGAGCCGACCAGTCCTTGTTTTAGCCCCTTAATGTAGAATTAGGACAACCCTTATAAGAGAGGTGTAATGATTCCCAAACTTAACACAGTCAAGATCATTTCATTTTTCAATTCAAAATTCAATCTCCATCAACAGTCCAGTCAAATGGCGTGGCGCATCACAGACATTCCACAACTAATTATCTGAATCCTAAAATCCTACTATCATGATTTTAACAAGGCCATAATAAACTATTAGATTTTCATCCAAAGTTTTACACAATGTTTGCATGGTGGGGCATGAGGCATTATCATGCTCATATTTTCTATGTTTTATCTTCAAACAAAACTTCCAAGGCATTTGCCTTCACCAGTTAGTATCGAAGGATCATTCGTGACCAACTCGTGTTATTCCGGGAAAACCCGAATAGCGACGCGTGCCCTTCTCATGGCCATTTTTGCGACCGGGTTCCGTCTTAGCGCAAACGGGCATACCTAAAACAATTGTCAACTCGTTGTGTAATGCTTTACATATATTTTCCGACATATTATGTATATTTCAGATGCAGTTTAAAGCAAATCTGGACATGCGGAATTATACAGTATGATTGAACACATTTAACTGTGTCTTGGGTATATTTTTAGATGCAAGACATATGTAAAATCAAAAATTATTACCGAGGGATTCTTTGATGAACAACTTGAAATCATACGCGCATTCTGATTGGTTTGGTTTTTTCGCATATAACATTCATCGATAGGGGGGACGAGTCTTCTTGCAGGTTATGGAAAGGGGCGAGTGGTGACAAATGATCGAAGGATGTGAATGTTTTACCATGTGAAAATCAAACAGTAACTTATGACGGCCGAAGTTATCTTGTATGTATATTCAAACAGGACATTTTTTCATCATGAGGTCAGATTGTCACTATCATGACCATACACTGTGTCTTGACATGATACACATCTCAACATGATACATGACATAGTACACGGCACATCAACACCATGCTAAGATACTGTATAGAAAGCGTAATGAAGCAGGAGTGAGAGAGTTGGGGCTCACGCTCAAAGTGATGCAGGTCTCAGGCGTTAACACTTTGATGAAAACCCACAAGTATGGGTAATGGTGCTTACAAAGAAACATAATTGGATGGAACCAGGATTTGAATCGACGATCATAAGTTTCTGGCGTGCCTAGGGACACAACTCTGCTTAGTGAATTGTGGCACCTTAGACGACTGGGCACCATGCCATTTCATCATCAAGATCCAACCAACACATGTAGTGAACTTGCGTCAGTTCCATGGTTTGGTAACACATGCTGTGTGCACCAGTGGTGAGTATGGGCTGACACCACTTTTAGCAATATTCCAGCAGTGTCATGGAGAGGAATACCAGAAATGGACTTCACACATTGTACCCATGTGGGGAATCGAGCTGGGCCTATGGCATAAGGAAATGCTTAACCAATAGGCTATGCCACAGCCCCACTATATGTACTATCATGATCATTAAACTTATTTTCTTGTGGTAATAGTAGATGATGGCGATCAAAAAAGGATCAGGTTGGTTGACTTACTCTTACAAAACCTGTTCACAATGGGCCTCTCTCGTTATTCACTGACTATGTTGGATGAGGAGGAGAGAGGGATATATTTCAGCCATATCACTGCCGCCTGTACATATCTAGGCCACACAAACCAGTGTCTGTTCAGCAGGAACAACAACGATCCATGTCATCGGAAAATGATGACACACAATCAGCCAAGCCACAGAGTCTGACAACCTGACAAGCAGTATAGTCCCCCAACATGCTGATAATACATGACACACAGTCAGGACACAGAGTCTGACCACCTGACAAGCAGTATAGCCCCACGACATGCTGATAATACATGACACACAGTCAGGACACAGAGTCTGACAACCTGACAAGCAGTATAGTCCCCCAACATGCTGATAATACATGACACACAGTCAGGACACAGAGTCTGACAACCTGACAAGCAGTATAGTCCCCCAACATGCTAATAATACATGACACACAGTCAGGACACAGAGTCTGACAACCTGACAAGCAGTATAGTCACCTCACAGACCACTGCAGACAGATGATGAACATACATGACGCACAGTCATATAGGTCTTCAGCAACCCATGCTTGTCATAAAAGGTAAAATGCTTGTCATAAGAGGTGATTAACGGGATCAGGTGGTCAGGCTCGCTGACTTGGTTGATACATGTCATCGTAGCCCAATTGCATGGATCGATGCTCATGATGTCAATCACTGGATTGTCTGGTCCAGACTAGATTATTTTACAGATCGCTGTCATCGCTGAGTGCGGCGTTAAACATGTTAAACAACAAACAAACAAACAAACAGATTCAGACCATGCACTGCATTTCTACCTGTGACCTTGACGCAACTGTTATTTTGTAACATTTATTCACTCACACAGCAGAGAGTCAGCTTACTGTGGGACAAAAGCCAATGTGATCACATAGTCTTTTAACACCTGACCCGTGAAAATCTGGGTTAGAATAGGTCTTTAGTAATGCATGCTTCAAAAGGCGACTATGCTTGTCATCGGGTGGTCAGGCTTGACATGGTTGATGCATGTCATCTATCCCAGCTGCGTGGATCGAAGCTCATGATGTCAATCACTGGATTGTCTGATCCAGACTTGATTATTTACAGACCGCCGTCATATAGCTGGAATATTGCTGTGTGCGGCATTAAATAACAAAGAAACAAACTTTTACCACCTTGACAGGGAACATGTCTAGATTTGCTCAGAGGTCTATAATCAGCCTACATCTGCAGCAAAAAATTCCCAAATTAGAATTACAAACTTTCCAGTTTCTGCAATGAAATTGTAACTTTGTAGAAGTGACTTGGATTTTACAGACTAATTTAAACAATACAACAACAAAAAATTCCAAAATTGCCTGCCAAACTTTGTTTTGAATCCTTAGTAACATAAACCTATGTGGTCCATTCCACAGAGCGATCGTAGCACCTACAGCCTGGAAGGTAATTTAAGGTACCGACGTTTACTACAATATCTGAAAAACTATTGGACCTACTCCAGTCAAAGTTGGTATGAGATTATTAAACAGTCATACATAACTGGATATTACATTTAAAGACAATCGGTGCATGAATAAAAAATCTGTTTATTTAGCTATAACTATATTTCACCACGGGAATCACGCACCCACGAATACGGTGTTATCATTGGGCGTCTCAACGTGCGTGATTCCCGTGCACCCTTTCGAGTTGAGTTGATTGGTTCAACTGTATCATATGGCCCTGTGACACAGGGGTAGTATTATACAGATGGCTGTTACAATGAATGCTCATTCCACCCGTGACGAACAGGTCTGGTTGTTGATGAAATATAGTGATAGCTAAATAGACAGATTTTTTATTCATGCACCGACTTCCAGACTATAGGTGATTATAACTCTCATACTTACTACACAAGTAGGTATATGACTGATGTAGCGCTTATGATGACTTTGTGGTGAGGGACCCAGCTTGATATAACCCATGAGTACAGGTATGGTACTGAGAGACCAAGGATCATAATCTGGATGTTTTAGTCAGTGCATGTGACAAGCAGCATCCGAACAAGGTACACTGATACGGACTCAGTATTTAACGATATAAACTGAATTCAATAAATTGATCTGATGTAGTTGGTACCATGCGTATATGTGAAAAACATGCATATGAGGACACTGGATAAGAACTACTTTCAAGCTCAATACATCAATGCAATATCTGCTTGCTTAAAACACTACTCAATAACATTCTCAACAGACTCAGAGGTTTCGCCATATGTGTGATTTCTGTTGACAAACATGGCAGCACTTTTTGGCACAATACGATAAATGGGCCTTTCACTCAAACACTGTATTCAAACGCTGTTTCTATAGTGAGTGAGTATGGTTTTATGACGCTTTTAACAATATTCCAGCAACATCACGGCGGGGGACAACAGAAATAAACTTCACACATTGTACCCATGTAGGGAATCGAACCCAGGTCTTCGGCATGATCATGATGATGAGCGAACGCGTTTACCACTAGGCTACCCCACCGCTCCTGATTCTTAAGTTACTTCATTGAGTGAAACTGCATCTTAAACATCGATTATTTTAAGAATGACATCTGATAAAGATGTTACGACCTGTGTGTGTTTCCCTATGATAAATTTAACATATAATGTATATTAGGAATAAAAGATATGTACAAGCTTTTCAATGGACGGCCAAATTAATACAATTCTATTTCATTATGTGATACCTACGATAAAGAAACCCTCGAGGCTGATAATATGAATTTCTTAAATTCACCGACATCTTGTGCACGAACCAATCCCACTGCATCCTGCACCCCCACATCAAAAGATGCAACTCCCCAGATACGAATGGATACCCCATCAACAAACAGAACCAATGGCTGAATCTCGGGGTTAAAAAATGGATCGACATACCTGGTTGATATTTAGGGCTCATCATTTGTTAGGTTCACGTGGTGTTAGGGTCCATCAAGTTCAAATGTCGTACAATGTTAGACTAGGTCAGATCAGGAAGTGAAATAATCTCTCTAGCTTTACAATCATGACAACATGGAAGGAAAAAAATGCATTTGTGTAATAAGCGGTGAACATGTGGCGTAGTATTACAAGGATGTAGGGGTAATAAACTTATATCCTAAACTCTTCATCAGCGTGATCTTCATGATAAGCTTTCGAGGATTAAAAAACACTGCAAACAAAACAACCACAACTCCTTGAAACATCTTCATGTAAAAAGGTCTAAGAAATTTAGAATTTTGTTCAATAGAGTGCTATTCAAAAAGTCCCACACCTCTTGCTACCTTAAGGATATAGCCCTTCCAGTTTAATTACATCACTTCGGCTTTGATAAACACATGGACCAAGCAGTACAACTTTGAAACAGAGAGTTAGTTACCTACATCATGTCCATAACAAAATTTTAATTATTTCCGGTTTAATTACATTTAATCACATCACAAGAGCATAATTTGTTGCACTATGAGAAGTTTCCATATCATACTTCCTGAATGAAACTTAATTTACGAAGCATTTCATGCATTAATGACCTTAAAAGGACCTGTACATCATCCATTCAGAAGCATTGTTTGTAAACAAAAGCCAGAGCTAGTCAGCTTATTCTGCAAGAGAAGTTTCTGCTCCACACTGCGGGACTGTAATCTTGTCATGTGACCAAATTTTTGTCTTGTTTGTAAACAAATGCACTTATTCTGGCATAAGGACAGACAGGTATAATGCAAGCTTGAATGGAGAGCTTTATATAATAATTTACATAATAATATAGATATGCTACTACATCTGCAACAGTGAGGTGCATGACAATATAGCTTTACACATTACAGTGACCGTATTGCCAGCTCTTCATAGGGCTTCGACGACACCAGGTGGAGGACAAATACGCAAATGGAAAGTTTTTCATTTCAGGATATTTTCTCAATGAAACTTCATGTTTATATAAATGTGTCCAAAATGAAACAGATGAAAAACACATGAATGGACGGCGTAAGAGGTGATGATGAGACAGAAGTCTCAAGGCCGCAAGGAACTCTGGGAAGGAGAGTGACTGGCTTCACATGACTGAGGCATTTGTATTGTAATCTCGGCTTTATCTTCCATTTGCCTCCAATAAAAAGAAGAGTTTGTTCTGCACAGCACTTTGCTCATCGGTTTTGTTGTGCCGAGTTCTATTGTTTGGTTTGAGAAATGAATCGGGCATGAACGAAAGGTGTGTCGTCATACACAAATATTATTTCATGCATGATTTAAAAACAACAAAGATCCATTGATGTAAGAAATATTTGACACAATCATGACATGATAGGTGTTGAGTTGGTTACTTTGAACTCATCTTAACTGATTGCAAAAGCCTATCTTTTATATCTGAAACATGTTTCATAATTTGACCTTCAGACAAATTGACCTCACATAGATCATGTAGATGTCGCCTGAAAATTGCTGCGATCATAACCCTTCTTAGAGATCATGTATATTAAGTTTCATCAAATTCCAAATATTAATATTCACGTTATCTTGTACCTGGACTATCACCGAGTGACCTTGATCTTCAAGGCCATCCATTCACATGAAAGAGAATCATGAATTGCAAACTACGGTGGTGTTACAAGGAGCTGTTGATTTAGACACAAAGGGCTGCTTACTTACCATATCAGCTTAAGTCACTATTCAATATTTATTTAACATGTCCAATTTGAATAAAACTTCTAAATTATTTGGGTAATGGTGATTTATCTTGTATATTTTATGAAAATTTATACCTATTAGTTATTGGGTGGATTATTAATAGATCTGTGGTTATTATCTGATTTCACAATTAAGTTCTGTACCTTTGACTTCTGGGTCTGTATCAAACATTAATAGCATGAAAATAGCACAGTTTACGATTGTTTACAGTAAAACCATTTCAAGTGATAAAGCAGGTATATAAATATCCATTTGACCAGGATTTAGAAATGTTGGGGTCTGTCAATGTAGACACTTAGTTAACTCAGCATGATAAGAGGGTCTTCACAATATTTCAGTTACCGGTACGTGAGAGAGCTGGGTTTGACACTGCTCAGTACAGTATTTCTGTTTCAGCACGGAGTGTCAGCTCAGTGTGAGGTGCAGGGTGAAACTGACACAGATCACCGACATTTACCACTTTGGCGATACCCATGAGAACAGACATAGTGCTAACAATCTTTTACCAAGGATAAATAGAGTAAAGGGCCAAGTCTGAATTTTGAACCCAGGACCAAGCAAATCCTGGCACGGTTAAGGGATGTAACTGTGCAGTGAACTGCAGGGCTTATCACATCACTTGGCTAACTTGTGCCTTGTAGCAGGAAGTTACATCATCATACATTTCTCCATAATGCTGATGTGATATTTTTTCGTTTGGTGCTTAAAGCCACACTCAGCAATATTCCAACAAATGACGATGACCTGCTAATACTCGACCAGACAATCCAGTGATTGATATTGTGACCTGCTAATAATCGACCAGACAATCCAGTGATTGATATTGTGACCTGCTAATACTCGACCAGACAATCCAGTGATTGATATTGTGACCTGCTAATACTCGACCAGACAATCCAGTGATTGATATTGTGACCTGCTAATACTCGACCAGACAATCCAGTGATTGATATTGTGAGCAACAAACCACAGCGCCAGGGTCAAAAGGACCAGGTGTCACCCATGTAACTGGGCTGGTACCAATGTCAGCCCAACAGGTATACACGTTCAACATGCACCAGTGCAACCTAATTATTGAAAAATGCAACCAAATATTTATACCTACATGCACCAAGTGCATGGCAAAAAATTTCAAACTTGTGTCTTTACTGGCCCTTAATTGTCCCCACAAAATTTATCTTTGAACACACTCAAATTGCCTCTTAGCTTTATTTACCATACTGCATCACTGATTCCTGGGTTGTGAGATATTTGTCATGCTCTCTTGGGGTTGATGTCATCATATTGTGGGTACTTCCAGATAATGTACCGTAGAAAGGTTGCCCTGGTAGACATTGCCACAAAAAGTAACATTAATAGGGGAAATATGGTATTCCCTGAAACTTTCGTATGATACATCATTTACATGTGCACTGATTTGTATTATTCCCTGAAGCATGGTTCATGTGATATCATCATGGTAAAGGCCATATTGAGGTAAGCCATTTGTGAGATAGCGAGTGTCAGGGTACAACAAAATTCATTACCGTATTCGACGTAATAAGCGCCCAGGGGGCTCTCGAAATTATAAATAGGGGGCTCTTATTAGAATATTATTTTTGTGGAAAAAAACAGAATTGAAAGATAAATTTTGTGGTTTATGCTGACAGCCTGAAATGTTTATGTACGACAGATATATTTTTCTAGAATTTAATTGCCCATAATTAAGGGTGCATATAACACACGAGTGCGTATTGTACGCGAATAAATAAGTCTTGTGAACATTGATAAATCGGAAGGGGTGCTAATCATGCTAATTAGGATTGTTCACTAGCCAATATATTAGCCAATATATTAGCAAATACCGCCGTGGGCGCTTATTACGTCGAATACGGTATTCCAAATATTGTAGACTTTTCACAAAACATTCACCAGGTACACATGAACTCTTTCAACTATTGTATTTAACATGTATGAATTAGTGATATGTCTTGAATTATTATTATGATTATGATTATTATTATTATTATTATATCGGTCTATTTTCTTGTTTATACAGAAATACAGTTGTCTTAATTATATATATATATATATATATATATATATATATATATATATATATATATATATATATATATATATATAAAACAAAAAAATAAAAATCCAAATGGAGCCCAGAACAATGCTTAATTTCAGGTCAAGGGCTGAGGCAATCTAGACTTGCCCCATCATTCTAGACTTGAGTTGGACTCCATTTTTAATCTATTCTCTAGGACCTGGGAGCAGACCAGACTAGGATGTCCTGGGAAAGAGATAGAAGAAGACAATAATTGAACTGAGTTTTACAAGGAGAACAGCTACTTCTCAAGTGACTTCCTGTCCATTGTAAGCATCTGTCCTACCGGACTCATTTTCCAGATATTTGACTCACACTATACTTGATGGCCTGCAAATAGATAATACATCCTGCATCGCTAAAGTGTAGTGTGATGCCCAATATAATGATATAAGTGTGAGGCTTGTAAATCCAAGGATGAAGTAGTAGTGTGTGTGAGCATGACCACAAAGTGATATATTGTAAGTGTAGGAGAAACCATGTCTCCGAGGGATTACTAGAGATTGTAAACCCTCACATGAGGGAACGTCCCTAGGGGGCCGTAAGGTTTACAATCTCTAATAATCTAGAGGAGACATGGTTTGTCCAACTTATAAACCGACTCATCGCATAGACAACGTTTTTAATTAAATAACTGTTATAAAAACTCTCAAATGTATAACCTGTATCGGAGATGAAATATCGCCTGCAGTCGTGAACTCGGTTCAATGAAACCGGTGACCTCAGCACATGGGTTTCACAACGGTGCGAAATCTGCACGTGCGTCTCGTAGGCTGAGACTATTACACGTTTGCTTTGACTGACGCTCATTCATTGTACTGCCAGTTGCTGGCATACGGATCTTGAAAAAGACATTCTAAAAAGCAGTGCTTATCAACACCTCTGTAGCCTTGTGGTACACTCACTGGGCTACAGATATGAAGGTTGCGAGTTCGATCCTTGGGAATATAAAGAAAACATTTGTCATTTGATTTCACATTTCATTACATGTTACAATCTGAACGGAAGTTATAATGATTGTAAGCCCTGCGAGGTGTTACAATCGTTGTAATACCTCTTACGAGGTGTTACCACAATTTCAAAAACTCCATATCGAGTAACACAAACAGCCAGAAGGTTTACAAGCCTTTTTAATGTTCCTAGTCCGGACTTATGCCGGTTTCATAGTGCTAGTCCACTGAGATACCATGCCACACTTTAACATGGATACCTAATTCAGA